TTATTTCATTAGGAGGAATTTTTGGATATCAATCAAGGGTGTTTTTCTTGGACTATTGGCTGCCGCGTTTCGCCCACAAAATATACAGTCAATTCACTTTAAAGTATATTCTGTAAAGCGCTTTGAGACGTCTCGAAGACATCACAAGGCACTATATCAAATGCAAGGATTATTTTTTTGTGTGCCGTTCTACCTGCTATAATACTGTGATACAAATAAGCTATTCTAAGAATATGACAAAAGTGGATAAACACCTTAGCAGAATATCCAGCGCCTTGGGACATCCTCCTGACGTGAAGGGCGCAATACGAACGTAATTTTGTAATTGTATCCATCGACCATCTTTAAGATCACAAGATTGATCTACATGAAGAAGACCCTTTGTTCCATCCAATCTCATCCCTGCAATACACCCATCCAACCATCCCCACCTCCCCCCATCACTGCATCTGCTTTTTGAACCAGTCCAGTGCCCACCATCCTGACAACATGTTTCAGTCATTCATTACGGAGTCCTGTAGCTCAGTGGTTAGAGCACTCGCTTTGCAAGTGAGAAACCTGAGTTCATTTCCAGGCAGGTCAGGGCGAAACCTTGGGCAAGTTTCCTTACTCCACTCGCCTAATAATAATCCCTCCAAAAACAAAAAACAATAATAAATTGGTCATTTTCAATCTACGACTGTTTGTGGGACATTGCTGTGCGCAATTGGCTGCCGCGTTCGCCCACAAATATACAGTCAATTCACTTTACAGTATATTCTGTGAAGCGCTTTGGGACGTCCTCCCGACGTGAAAAGCGCTATATCAAATGCAAGGATTATTATTATTATTATTATTATTACCCTCTATGTAAAGACTATAGTATATACATGAAATTTCTATAATAAACATACAATGAATAAGGCCCACAGTGACATCACCTTTAGAACAGGTAATGGACTCAGGATTGCCAAAATGAAAGCCATTATGAAAAAAACAATGTTGGTAAAAGGGAGGTTACAGTGCAGTTAGTCAGATCAGCTAACTTGGGCTTGTTGCGCATCCACTGCCCACTCCCCATCATCAGTGGTTGAGTCTTCAATCAGTACTCCCCTAACTCCTTGCCTCTAGCTCTCCACCTCACCCATTTTTCTGCCTACCTCTTCAACCATGCTTATAGTCACCTCCCCCTTCTCTCTTGCTCAGAGTCCAATTCCACTAGTGTGAAGTGCTCCAAGATGTTGCCCTATGTGAAGGGCACTACAAATGCAAGTTTGTGTTGTTGCAGCATGACAGAGTAGATTAAGTTGAGTCATGCAAGCAAAATCCTGTTGTAGTACAATGATTTCTGAATTGAAAGGGATCAGTCAGGTATAGAGCAGTGAATTGAAAAACGCAAGTCAGGTATAGTGCGCTGAAATTTCTCCAACAAAGTGTTGTTCAATCATATTGCTATTGATGGTAAAAATGCTGTATTTCTAACAAAATTTGTTCAGAGCACTATTCGTGAAATGAACTTCAACAAGGGAAAATGATTTTACTTGACAATAAATTTAAAACTAGAATACTCATTTTATGTTTGATCAATTAGCTTCATTATAGCCAAAGCAGACAATTAAATAAATGAGTTAATGCAGTACAAATATTTTGTTATAAATCTTTTCGAAATGACCTCGAAATGTAATGGTGTTAACTGCAGCCAAATCAAGCACGTTTCTATAATAATAATAATCCTTGCATTTGATATGGCACCTTATCATATCTTTGAGACGTCGCAAAATGCTTCACAGAGTATATTGTAATGTGAATTGACTATATATTTTGTGGGCAAAACGCAAGACCTGCATGACTTCTGCCAGGAGATCCTGAAAACAATGAGAGCCACATTGCCTCTCAGCTTTTCTACATGCCTATTTGGCCCGCTGCTGGTAGAACAATTAACCACCTCAGGATGCAAACTAGTCGAATTCTCACTTCTGGCTGTGAGAAACATGCATCATCCAAATTTGCGGCAGCCCAACATTGCCCATTCCAAGTACTGTATAAATCAAAGACAAATTAACAAACTCAGTACATGATATTTAAGAAATACCTCTGAAACATTTCCCAATCTGAGCAAGTAATATCTAGATTGCACCTAGAAGTGGGAAAACGCCAGGAGGTCTAGGCCTCTCTTCAGAGTGCCTCGGGCATTCTGCACTTCCCCATAACTGTAGTGGGCCCGAGACCAACAATCACAATAAAATATTGCAACTGCCAACTACTTGTACACAACATATAAAACCATATGCTTCTGGATCCTCCCCAGACTAAGCCCCCTACAAAGGTAAGATCCCACCTCTGCCAGTGAATAGCTTCATTCAAATATACCAAACTATTTAAGAGACCTTTATTGTGCACAAGTACCTCATAAATTGTATCACATAACATATTTTTTCTTAACTTAAGGAAACGTGAATCTTGCAATAAAAAGACCACTACTTCTGACTGGCCAAAGTTTTCTGATACCCAATGTTTTTCCTATGTTCTATATAATCTTGGGAATGACTCAGGTATCCATTAGGACCTCAGTTTAACATCTCATCCAAAAGATTGCAGCTCTGAAAATGCAGCTCTCCCCAATCCTTACAAAGAAAACTTGATAGTAGATACAATTAGGTTTATCACTGGCAAATAAGAAATAAAAAAGGAGGCACATGTACAAGCTTGGTGGGACAGCACTTGCTAAAGCTAAGTATACCTTCCCTTTCTCCCCAACTCGGCATCAAACTACTCCATTGTTAAAACACTGCACCCCACGTGAAGGTAGTTAGATGAATGCAAGTTGTTGTTGCTGGTGATCTAGGAGTAAGTGGTTAGTGATTTAGGACAGTTGAGGTGTCAGTAAACAAGTTCAATAGGACACTAAGCTACAATGACAAATATACTGAATTCAAATTTTCAGACATCATACTAGAGCTGTATTGTGTTCTGGTCACCCTGACCCTGAAATGCACACATTATTGACACAACATAAGGGAGCCATCCAAGACCCAGAAGCTGTGTTAAAGAGATAAAGCTATAAATAATAACATGATACGGTAAGATTCTTCAGTCTTGAAAGAAGACACATCAGAAGGAACCCTATAAAGCTATAAAATCATAACTAAATAGACAAAATAAATTAAGCATAATAATAAATACTCCAAAACAGAAGAACAAGAGGGCATAAGCTCAAGCTTCTGAAGAACAATTTTGAGACAATACATATTTCATTTCACAGAGGTCAATCAACATGCAACATGGGCTTCCAGGCCATACTATTTATTTTCGAAAAAAATAGTGTAAAATAGTTTTCAACATATTAATTCACATTACAATTTCCTAAATATAGCTTATAATTTACCTAAAAGTTGGATTTCTGTATTAGATTTAAATTTTATGTGATATCCTATCAATTCTGGAACCATGCACAAAGTTCTCACATAATTTGGCAAAATGGAAATTTGAAATACTTTGAAAGATGCAAGATTTCTCTTTTCTTGGTTGAATGTTGACAGGTGAAAATAATCTCTCACATCATCATCTTGAAATTAAATTAGTGACATGTTTCAGGATGTTTTAGCAATTCAAAATGCAGTGGAATATTTTCAAAAATAAATATTCTTTTTTTCACTCACTGTTGCACGTATAGGATACATACCCTCGTAAAGTCAACATGGTCAGAAAAAGGAAGAAAAATTATTGTTTTAATGTGTAACCAGAATACAACAATATTCTAAACACTTATAAATGAATGTAAAGTGCTTTGAAAATACTCAGAACATGCTTTGCAGAAGACTGTATTTGCTTTACCATTTCATTTGTATTATTAACCAATTCATCAGCAGTCACATATTTTAGGTGAAAACAAAGTAGTTAAACATTCAACAATTAACCTTATTAATTTGAACCAACTTACCGTCAAATACATCTACAAAACAAAGAGTATTGTTCAACAAACAGTAACGCAAGTGTCAAATACATACATATTGTGAATAATATGGATAATATGACACCCAACACAGGAAGACGGGACTTAAAATCACTGTAGACAATGTAATCGCAACAAAAATAACTATTCTCCCTCCTCTACCATCACCACAGTGCCTCTTTTAATAATGGCATCTTCCTTACAACAGGTTAGCAAGTGTCAAGGTCACAGATTTTCTTCAACAGTGTTCATATTTGTTATATGAAACTGCACCCTGGATCATATTTCCTTCTTAAGAGAATGTGGTTAAAGGTGCTTCATTTATTTCTATTACTTACATAATAGGCATTTTTCCTGTTGTACACATGACTAACATTATACATAAACTTGATCCCTATATTCACGTATCAGTGATCCTATTGTGAAATGTCAATGCTGATTTTAAAAAGTCTTAAAAAAAAATTGAAAGACATTCAAATATTCTCAACAGGCGACTCCATTCAAACAGAATCCACCGAGCTCTACCAACTGCGAGAACAAACTCGTCCTTACAACTTTATTCTCATCCAACGCAGCTTTGCCTCCACGAACGCACAACGCGAACGAGCCTTAAAAAAACCGCGGCTGCAAAAAGCAGAAAGAAACAGCAGCAGCGGATTGCTTCGGGGGTTCGTAAACTAAATGGTCCGAGTTATTCCGACGTCAGCCAAGATCGTACTGGTTGAGACACCAGCGCCGGGCAGAGACTGCAGATAACCTGAAGCTGAGGCGGAATTATATGTTCTGCAAAAACACAATAGCCTCGGGGCTTTGGGAAAGCTGTGAGGCTCGACAAGCGGCTGCACATCAGCGCACCAGGGACCGCCACTTCAACACCGTCGGGGGCTACAAGACCGGACTTACAAATGAAGTTGTCGCGGGAAAAAAAAAGAAGAAGAAGAAGAAGAAGAAGCCACGGCTCGCTCCTTCGCTCAACAAATGAGTGGGATACAGGGCTCCGAAGCTGCCCGGCGTGGCCTACGTGTTTTCGGGATGGTGCCGAGCCCTCCTTTTTTTTTTACTCACTCACCCGTCCTTCCGTTTGGCTTTGTATACATGACCGTAAGTGCCTCGTCCAACTTTGCAGCCCTCGTATTCAAACAGGTCCTCCACCCGCTCTCTCTCCGTCGTCAGCTTCATCTTGAAATCATAGTCCATTTTGGGAAGCTTTGAAAAAAAAACAAGCGCCTGAGACGTGTAATAAATATAAAAGAGCGAATAGGATCGTCGCCCGGGGTTAGAAAGAAGCGATGTGGCGGAGGGGAGTGAAGTGAAGCTCGGGTCGGGTCGGGTCGGGTCAGGTCGGCCTCTGGCGGTTACAGCTGCTGTCACCTCTCGCTGTGCCGCTGCTGCTGCTCCGCTCGCGCTCCCTCTCTCTCAACTGTCTTCAATCCTTGCACAACGCCGGTATCACACCGCAATCCCACTCACGGCACTGCCGCGCGTTGTCGTAAAGAAACCCCACCAACTGATTCGCTCGCTCGCTCGCGCGCGTGACGTTCCTCTCCGCCCCCCCCCCCCCCCCCGCACCCGCCGCCGCGAGTGTGTGTGTGTGTGTGTGTGTCGCGCGCGCGAGAGAACGAGTGGCCGTTAACCCCTGAATGCGCGAGGAGGAGGAGGAGGAGAGAGAGAGAGAGAGAGGAAGAGTTGAGAGTGAAGAGTGGAGAGAGAGGAAAAGTAGAGCGAGAAGAAAGGAGAGGAAGAGTAGAGAGAGAGAGAGAGAGAGAGAGGAAGACTGAAGAGAGAGGAAGAGTGGAGAGAGTGGAAAGGGAGGAAGAGTGGAGAGAGAGGAAGAGTGGAGAGAGAGGAAGAGTGGAGAGAGAGGAAGAGTGGAGAGAGAGGAAGAGTGGAGAGAGAGGAAGAGTGGAGAGAGAGGAAGAGTGGAGAGAGAGGAAGAGTGGAGAGAGAGGAAGAGTGGAGAGAGTGGAAAGAAAGAGAGGGAGAGGAAGACTGGAGAGAGGAAAGGAAAGGGAGGAAGAGTGGAGAGAAGAGAGAGGAAGAGTGGAGAGAGAGGAAAGAGAGAGAGAGAAGGTGAGGGGAGAGAGAAGAAGAGCGGAGAGAGAGGGGTGAAAAGAAGGGGAAACAACAACAGCGCCCCTCACGCAGGGCAGCGTCCCGGAGCGCTTGAAGAAGTCCTTAGGAAAGGAGAGAGGAAGAAAACTGGAGGGAAAGGATAGGAAGAGACAGAGAGGAGGAAGGAAGAGGCAAAGAGGGAGAGAGAGAGAGAGAGAAGAGAGGAAGAGAACGAAGGGGAAGATGCCGAGAGAGGAAGGAAGGGACAGCACAGGAGGATGAGATGGCGCAGGGAAAGGAAAAGACATTTAACTCAGGTCAGAAAAATGTACGTAACGTCGGTCATTCATCTGTTTGGAATCACAGCCACAGGAGAATGGAGTGGATTAGACACCATTGAAAGATAGATTGGCCGCATAGAGATAGTCACCAACAACGGTGAAGAGTGAAATATCTCTGAACCCAATGACTAGGATGAGTTGCAGGACTATTTAAATACTGCATTTAAATATTCCATTTCCAAATTCGGAACATGCACTGCAGTACAACAGATGTCACATAGCTATATTTCACTTGGGAAACATGTAAAGTCACACATGAAAAATTGTAAAAATTGATGAACTAAAAGGGGGTGGGGGCTTACTATTGTTTCGTTTTTCTAGATTTCTATAATATCAATTTAATTTTCAGGCTCCAGCCTTTGCACGTACCTCGTCCCCTCCAGTCCGCCATCAGGAGCGTGCGTTCGGCCACTATGCCACCAAACTCTGGAACTCCTTGCCTCAATTCCTCCACCTGGCACCTCTTTGCACGTGGTCAGTTCGCACCTGAAGACCTTTCTTGCTCCCCCCTACCTCTCCGATCTCCTAACCCCCTACCATCCTGTTCGCTCCCTCCGCTCAGCGGGCTCCGGCCTGCTTCACATCCCCCGCCTCGCTCGCCCCACTATTGGCGGGCGGGCCTTCCGCCACTCTGCCCGCACCCTCTGGAACGCCATCCCGCAGTCCCTCCGTCTCACCCCCTCCCTCGCCACCTTCAAGACCCAACTCAAGACCTTCCTCTTTGACCGTGCTTTCGATCTCCCTCCAGTGCTCCCCTCTCCCCCACCCCGACCCTCAGCTCAGGTCCGTAACTGTCTGTCCAGCGCCTTGGCACGTCCTCCCGATGTGAAAGGCACTATATAAATGTAATTTTGTTGTTGTTTCTACGGTCACCTCTTTCTCCCAGCTCGGCGTCAGGCTCTACCATTGTTAAGTACTCAAATATGCTACCCCATGTGAAGATGCTACATAAATGCAAATTGTTCTCATTCTAAAATCATGCGGTGAGTTGTCTATGCCTGTCAAATTATGCAAAATCAAATATTTGAAACGCACTAGATTGTCTTCACTACTAAATCTAAATGCAAGTTGTTGTATTTAGCAAAACATAGCAATTTAATTGTGTCGATACTTGTTTGCTGTTGTAGACAAATTTACCTGACACCACATTACTTTCAAATATAGGTTTTATTAACGTTTGAACAGACAAATCAGCTACACTGTATCCCTTATACAGATACACTAAGCAACAGACAGAATCAAAATCATATTACTCACTACTCCTCTTCTTTCACTTTTTATGGTCACTTTCTTACTGGAGGTAAATTCCCTTAACCCTGTACATATACATAGATAAAGTAGAATCGATATCGATTCCACTGGGAAGTGCGCTGACCCTCTACACAACTCCAACTATTTCCAAGTTATATCTCTTATGTGTTTCTAACTCCACCTCCCTTTGTCACAGAAATAACCCCCACCCTTCGCAAACTGCTTTGCACAGAGAGCGATATGGACGACTTCTGGGCAGCCTTCTACAGCTGCTTGTTTCTCAGCCTTGAGATAGACAGGTGTCTGAGGCTGCAATCTTTTCTTTCTGTGGTCCATTGTTCTTACATCTATGCTCAAGGACCTGATTACTCATTATCTCAGAGGAGTTAACATATTCCCAAGAAAATATGAAATATAATCAGAAGCTAACTTCAACCTGTTCAGCAAAGCCACTTTTAACCATTTAACTATCGAACCTTCTGGAACATTAGCTTGCTGGTGGAAATATACCAACGTATCCCGAGGCGATAGACAGTATGGGAAATGATCAAGGAAAACTCATGCAGTGTAAGGAAACATTTGACCCTGACCTGGGAGAACAACAAAAATCAGTCGCATAGCTTGATGGTTTTCACTCTCATTATATATAGTAGGCCTGTGAGATTAGATTCAGGTTGTAACCTTATCAGGATCACACGTCAAAGTATCTTCTGGCGGTTTATGAAGAACATAATAAGTCTGAAATGTAAGTGGTGAGTTCAAATCATATTTTGTAACAGTTTGCACTGCCCAAGCCTTGTTTTTCCAGCCTGAATCATACCCACATGATGTTAAATTGCAGCAGCTGGTTGTTACACTTTTTCCCCAGTTGTCATGCCCAGCAATTCAAATGATGTTATTTTATAGGTCTATCACGGGCTAAGCCAACTGTATAGTTCACCAGCTAATAGTAAATGCACTGCTCCAGAAGGATGTAGAAGCAGAATCAATAGGGATGTTTAAAAGATAGAAAGGAGATCTCCTCAGGAAGTAAAGATACTGAGACATTTAGATTAAAATATCTGCTATGATCTAATAAATAGACAGAATAGGCTCAATGGGCTGAATGGCCACCTCCTCAAGTATTTCAAGGCTATAGAAAGAATGCAGAAGAGATTCACCAAGACGATGCCAAGGAATTACATTTTTACTCATAAGGAGCAATTGAATTTAACTGGGGCTGTTTTTCTTAGAAAAGAGCAGACCTATAGAGTTTTTTTAATTATGGGGGAATTTGATAAAGTGAACGGGGTGAAATTATTTCCACTAGTTGGAACTAGAGGGCATAGATTTAAGGTAAATACTAAAACAACTGAGGGAGAGATTACAGGGATTTCTTTTTACACAGAGAGATATATAGAATATGCTTCTTGGAACCATGGTTGAGGTAGAATCAATATTAGCTTTTAAAATGAAATTAGATAAATATCTGGAAAGGAGAAATATAAAACAAAACAAGGACAGGGCTAGAGAAAGGAATGCATGGATATCTCTTTTAGAGAGCCAGCACAGGCATGATGGGCTGAATGACCTACTTCAGTGCTATATATTCTATGGTTCCTCCTGTTACAATGTTCCTAATGCAAGATTTCTGCAAATGTAGTGAATCCTGATGCCATCTGCAATTTTAGGTGGTTTTGTCTTAGAAAGTGTGAAATTAATGAGAATATTGCAAATGCAGAAAATTAGCTTTACAGTTTTCCCATTTTTCCCAAATCCTAAATTTATAGTTCTTTTGGTTAAAAAAAAGTGATCCCACATGAGAAATATTAAAACAGACAACTTGGCTGCAAATTGTTTTTGAAATCAAATAGCTAGTGAAATGTGTCGCTCTCTGGACCAATTTTAGTAGGAAATCAATCCACAGTTGAGTCGGCGGACAAAGACAAACCCAGATTTCGAAACATTTAGTAAAAATCAGCAGTTACAAGATCTCCAGACACACCTGCATGTAATTACTGAGCTGCTTATTCTGCTCTTATAACCAAACTTCTAATATTTATATGTGTTAAATAGTTCTATCTCCCTTTAATATATTACATTTTGGATCAAGCAGAATAAACAGATTATTTAGAGGAGAAATGTAATCAACAACAAAAATGTGCACTGTTATTTCCTTGTAGGATGAACATTTCAAAGAACTTATCAAAGGCAACAGGGGTGGCTCATGGAAGGAGGGAGATAGAATTTGAGGGTGCTGAGCAAAAAACAAGGTTAAATAGAGAGGTTTCCTACAAAGGTTTCCTACAGTCATTACACCTCACTGTAAAATCACTGAAATTCTTTAAGCCATTTCAACGACATTGATAAGATGCCATATCAAAAGAAATTATTATTAATGCGTAAAGAGATACATTTTAAGAGCGTTTGAAGGCAGAAAATGAAGTCACAGGCAAAGGAATTTTCGGAGATAGTTTCAGAGAACATTACACACAATTTTTTCATAATCCTGAAAGGGAGTTATCTATTCTTTTTTAGTGTCTCAGAGTCATGCCATGTTGAAGTAATATTTTGAAATGCAGGTAAAAGGAAGCTAATATTTTATGTTGAATTTCCCATGATGTGAAAAAAAACGCAAAATACTGCAGATGCTGGAAATCTGAAACAAAAACAGAAATCGCTGGTAACACTCAGCAGGTTAGGCAGCATCTATGGAGAAAGGAAAGTGGGTCAACGTTTCGAGTCTATGATGAAGGGGCTCTGTTTTTGTTTCCCATGATGTGAGTCTAGTGATTTTATAAATTGAAACAGAGTGCGGTGGCCCGGCCACTTTCTTTAATAATCCTGACATTTGATCATCTTTGTACCTTGCAGAAGACAAGCAAAATAATTAGTATTGGTAGAACAATGTTGGATTATCACATTGTGTACTGGTGCATGCAAGATTTTACATGTCTGGATAACAAATATATTTTATACATTTTCAAACTAGAACCATATATGTGACATTTGCAGATGAGATTCATAGCTGAAAGAACCCCAAAGTTTTATTTTTGGAGCAGCTTTGTTAATCTAGATATCAGTAGCGTAATACCACCCATTGTTATTCAAAGTAATATTAATAATTTTTTTCACATGTATGTACAAAGAGAACGAGAAAGCTGATGTATTTGGTTTATTCTTCTCCTCTGACTCGAATCTTGATGATCTTGACAAAGAACAACATCAAAAACTTGCACTTAATTTGTATCTTTCATGTGGAATGAATGCCTTGAAATTCTAGACATAAATAATGGGCAGCATTGAGGAGAAAAAATTGAGATTTTGGCTAAAGCTGGGGTCGAAGAGCAATGTTTTCAAAGAGAGTTTTGAAGGCAGAGAAAGATGCAGCAAGGCAAAGAGATTTGAACTAGAGGCTGAATTTCAGAGGTTAGGAGTAAGGTGGCTGATAATAAATGTGAAGAGTCCAGTGCAGGATAGAATACGTCCTGCAGAAATTTGAATGAGCTAGATTTTATGGAGCTAGGGAGGCTGGCAAGGAGTGCTTTGCAAATGACTGCTCTTGAAGTGACAAGGACATGAATGAGTTTTAGCAACAGTTATGGTGGGATAAGAGCAAATATGGGCAGTGCTCTGTTGATGAAAAAGATGCTCTTAATAATGGATTGGATGTGGGATTTGAAGTGTAATTGAGGGTCAAGCAGAGCACTGTCAATCTGCTCCCGTTACTCCTTTCTGTTCTATGTGGAGTCCTGTAGCTCAGTACTTCGCAACTGAGAGGATCTGGGTTCGATTCCCGGGCAGGCCAACATGTTATTTCTTACTCCACACACATGTTTACCTAGCAATAATTAGGAACCTGGTTGTTAGTCAATTGGCAGATTGCTATTCCGGGGGTTTTAAACCCTAAAAAAAATCTGGTAACTCAATCTATGACTGTTTGTGGGACACTGTTGTGTGCAATTGGCGGCTGGGTTTCTCCCACAAAAAAAAGTCACTACACTTTGCAGTATATTCTGTGAAGCACTTTGAGATATCTCGAAGAAGTGAAATATATCAAATGCAAGGTTAATTAAATAAAAAATAATTATAACTATGACTGATATTGAGTTTTACCCCTACCATTGATGTCATCCTTAACTTTGAAGTCAGTTTATTGTAGTTCCTTAATTTTCAGATTATCATTTTTACACATATGCTTTTGCTGTTTGCTGTTAGCTTCCAAATGACTGGCAAAATAACTGTGTAAAGGGCAAGGAGGCGGAAGGATTCCTGAAATGTGTGCAGGATAACTTTCTG